GAAAGCATGATATGTAAGGAATATTATAATAAATCCTTTGGCAAAGTCAAGAATCTTTCTACAACAAAAACAATCTCTTTGAAATGTATCTGTTTTATAAATCCAAATTTTTCATATGTGAAAGGTTTTTAAAAAAGCACTTCTGTCCCTCTTTTTGGTCCCTGTACAAAAAAAAACCCAAAAACTAAATGGCTATTTGGACAAGTTCCCGCATTCTGGTGCCAGATGCTTTCATAATTTTAATAAATTCAATGGATGCTTATAAAGTGCCTACTGTGTGCAAAGCACTGTGCTAGGCCTCAAGGGAGATACACAGATACATAGGATAGTTCCTTCTTTCAAAGGGTAGTAACAGTAGAGATATACTACTAGAAACTCTATTAGAAGAGATAAGATACATACATACATACATACATACATACATACATACATACATACATATACATATATATATAATATATATATATATATATATAAACATATATGTATATAAATCTAACTATAACACAAAATAGAATGTGACCAATGCACAAGATCCAAAGCAATATTAAGGCTCAGGAGAGGGAGAGATCTTTTTCAGCTCATGAGTCATAGGATGCCATATTGACAGTTGGAAAGGACCTCAGAGATTATCTAGACTAAGTACTTCATTTTATAGACTAGGGAAGTTTTCTTGAGGAGGGAAGCAAGTGGGATGAGGACATTCCATGTTGATTCTCCAATACAGAGCCAACACATGGCAATGATTAGGGTAATCATTTACCCTGAGGGAAAATTCCCATCCAAAAAAAAACCCAAAACACCAAAACTCAACAATGGAGCAGAGTGCAAATTAGGAGGCAAGTAAGAATGTAAATGGGAGTCTGAGCCAGGGCAGAAATAAGGAGTTTCTTCAGAACACCAAGATCCAATGAACTGAGTGAGACGTGTAGAAAAGTGGGTTGGAATAGAAGCTTCAAGCCATAAGTGTATACCTAGAAATCAGGAAAAGTAGGGAAAAATCAAGATGGTGGAGTAGCAGGAAGTGGAACCAGATTCTCCCACACAACTGCTCCACAAAGATCTAGAAAATGTATCAGACTGAGTCCTGTCCAGAAAATCCAATAAAAAGTCACAATGAGTGACTCACCAGGCTGGCCTAGGAAGACAGATAAATCCACATACTCTGGGGACAGGTTTTAGCCAGATGCAGTTGCACACAAAGCATTCCAGCGCAGAGATGGATGGAGTGCTGAGGATGTGCATCAGGGTAAGAAGAGATCCCACACCCACACAGAGGTGCCTGACCTTGTTCAAGCTGAAGGAACAGGTAGGTACCCACTGGCAGCTCTGTTGCTCACTACCCAGTTTCTGGGCATGGATGCAGCACAGACTGATGAGAGGGAACCTAGCTGAGGAGCTGTAGGCCTTAGGCAGTGTACTGAATAAGGAGCAAGTTCAGAAGCAAGTAGTTGCTGTGTGGCTCTAAATCCAGGAATAAATTGGACTAGAGGTCTCAGTTCTAGCCTACAACCTGGAATCCTGCAAGGGAATAACCAGGGCAGGAATCCAAGACTGTTAGGGGAGCACTCGAAGCTTACAGGATCCCATCCTGATCTGTCTCTGAGTTCATGGAACGATACAACAACATTCCCGAGAAACCAGCAGGACCCAAGCGTACACAAGCTCAGTCGAGACATTTTCTTCAGAAGGGCACAGAGCCCGGCCTTTACCTAAAGACTAAAGTCAGAAGGTGGCTGGAAGAATGAACAATCCAAAGAAGAATCTTTCTACAAAGAGCTGTTATGGTGACGGGGATACTCAAGATGCAAACCCAAAAGAAAACAACTTCTAAACATAGGAAAAGTCCCCAAAGAGAACACAGGCTGTACAAAATTTAACTAGAATTCCTAGAAGAAATGACGCTAGAGGGTTTTTTTGTTTTGTTTTTTACAAATTTAAAAACAATTTTGTAAAAGGAATTTTCCACCAGAAGAAAAAATTGGGAAAAAAAAATTGTAGAAGAAAGAACTGGAACTAGAATTAGTGACTTGATACAACAGATACCAAACCTTAACCCAACAACAAACTCCTTGAACATTACAGTGGACCGAATTAAAGTTAATCACCCCATAAAACAATAAGACATATAAAAAACAAAATCCAAAGACTGAAAAAAATAGAAAAAATTTGAGGTATCTCACAGCCAAAACAAACCTGGAAATCAGATCAATGAGAGACAATTTAAGAATCATTAGACTGTTTGAAATCCACAACTGAAAAAAGGGCCTAGACATATTAAAACAAACAAACAAACAAACGTAAAAAGATCTACCTCTCTTAGAAACAGAGGCAAGGAAGAAATAGAATCTACTGGTCACCTCCTGAAAGAAACACCTAAGTGAAAACTCCTAGTAAACAAAATCCAGAGCTTACAAGTCAAAGTAAAAATAATTCAGGCAGCCAGAAAGGAAAGAATTCAAGTACTAAGGAGCCACAGGATCACACAGGATTTAGCAGCTACCCCTAAAAAGAAGAAGAGAGCTTGGAATACAACATTCCAGAAGACAAAAAATATAGGCTTAAAACCAAGAATAACTTATCCAATAAAGTTGATTATAATCTGGGGAGGGGTGGGGGGAGGGAGGAGGGGACAAAGGGGAAGGGCAGAGAGTGAAGAGATGGTTTTTTTAATGAAATAGAGGTCTTCTAAGCATTCCTGATGAAAAGATCCAAGATGTATAGAAACGTTGAAACTGTTCAAAGGAGGGAAGAATACACACAAACACACACACACACACACACACACACACACACACACACACAGCTGGGTACAGAAATACATTTCACTCAACAGGGAAACGGGATAGAAGGCACACTGCTCCAGGATAAGCTATGCTGAAGAAATAAAGTTAATGCTTCCTGTATCTGCTAAAACCTGGTTTTGCAGATGGGCAGACTACCCAGAGTTTCTCATGTTCTGGTGGTTTTGATTCAGGCCAGAGTAAGTCCAGGTTACATTGCAATACATGTTCCAGTTCCTAAGAAGAATATAAGGAGATCTTTCAGGAATACAACAACAAATTGATCCAGAGAGTCAGCAAAGATATTAATGATTAAAATGTTGCTGGAACACTGGGTAGCCCATGTTTCATATAAGTTATAGGATAATAGCCTATTAGAGTTGGAAGGCACCTCACAGATCATTTACCTGGCCAAGACTATTTTCTACATCACTACCGACAAATGGTCACCCAGCTTCTATCTGAACTACATTGATGGGGACCTCTGCTAAAGGGATTCCAGATGATAAAGTACCAAGTGAATGGCACAGACAACACATGCTACAAGTTTAGATGAAGAAGTGCATGAAATCTCTCTAGGTCTGAGTGATCAAGGAAAGTTTCATGGATAAGGCAGGGATACAGATGGGCCTAAATGGATAGCATTTCGACTGAGATGAATGAGATGTTTCTGCATAAGGCCAAAGAGGCAGAAATGGAAGCATATGGCCTTGTCAAGGGATAGTGAGATGATTCATCTGTTTAGTGCGAAGAACTGGGTTGGGAAATGGTGGACACTAAGGCTGGGTAGGTACAGTTGCGTCAGATTACAGAAGATCCTGAATGTCAAGCTAACAGGGAATCATCGTGGCAGGGAACAACATTGAGCAGGGAATAAAAGGATGAAAGCTTAACCTATAATCAGTATATAGGACAGACTAGAATGGAGAGAGACTGAGGGCAAGAATCCAGTTAGCAAGTTATTACAAAAATATAAGGTTAAGACAATGACATAATGAAAATACAATAGTGGCAGTGGAATGGAAAAGAAAGGAGGAATCAAAAGGACATGAGAGAGGGAGGAATCAAAGAAAACAAGCATTTTTAGCTTGAGTGACTGAGAATTGACATAAAGGGGTCAAATGGGGAGGGTGGTTCATAGAATGTTGGGAGGGAGAGATAATGCATTTGGAAAAGCAGTCAGATGAACAGGATGATTTCAGAAAACCCTGTAAATACTTATGTGAACTGATGCAAAATGAAGTGAGCAGAACCAGGAGAATGTTGTACAATGTAATAGCAATATTGTACAACAATCAACTGTGAATGACTTAGCTGTTCTCAGCAATACAATGATCCAAGACAATTCCCAAAGACTTATAATAAAAAAAATTCTATCTACCTCCAGAGATAGAACTGATAGGAGTCTGAATGCAGATCAAAGCATACTATTTTTCACTTTATTTTTTGTGTGGATTTTTTTTTGTCTTTTTTTTCACAACATGACTAATATGGAAATATGTTTTGCATAATTGCGCATGTATAACCTATATCAAATTGCATTCTCTCTCAAGGAGAAGGAATGGAAGGAAAGGGGGGGGTTAGAGAATTTGGAACTCAAAATTTAAAGAAAATTAATGTTAAAAATTGTTTTTACATATAATTAGGAAAAAATTAAATACTCAAAAAAGAAAACAAGAAAAGCAGTCAGAGCTAAAAATAATAGATTTGGGAATCATCTGAATAGAGATAATCACTGAAGCCAAGACGGTGTATGATTTCCTAAGGCAGGGTTCTTAATATGGAGTCTGTGAATGTGGTCGTGGTTGTATTTTTTATAATATATTTTGACAGCTGCATTTTGATGTAATTGATTTCCTCTTATAATCCAAGATATTTTGATTTAAGTATAGTATTTAAATATAGTATTCTGAGAAGGCTTCCATAGGCTTCATCAGACTGTCAAAGGAGCACAATGTACCAAAAAAAAAGTGAAAAACTTTTGTCCTACCTGGGGAAAGCATGTAGAGAAAAGCAGAGCCCTAGGAAAGAGACTTGGGCAATGCCCACAAATCAATACACAAAAATAAAATGGAATTTCTAGAGCGATAATGAAGGATCTGGACAACTAAGGTCATACAGAAACACAAAGGCCAAGAGAGAACATAATTTAGATAGTCATACATCCTGGCTTTTTCAAAAGAGCTACAATTCAGTACAAACAAAACACCAAGGATCTCCTAGACAAATGTTTCAGTGGACTTTTAATATCAAGATTTGTCTAAATAGACATTTTATGAACACTACAAAAAAGTCAACAGTATAAAATTAAATAAAAGCTCTCTGCAATCATTTCAATTACAAACTCCAAGTGTACAATATACAAACATTACAGATTATTCTACATTGGAAAGAAAGGCAGCTTTAATTAAATACAATCAATCAAAGAAAAAATTCCTAAACTCAAAACCAAGTTTTTATATTAAATGTGTAACTTTTCCTTTTTTAAAAATCATATATTATCTACAAAAAAGGTCACTTATTTGTTTTTTTCTTACCCTATTCTCCATATTTTCAATATATTTTATTCCAAGTTAAAATTTTTTAAACCCCCAGCCATTCTGGATCCAGTCACCACATAACTATTCTCAAGCCTCCATTTTTTCTTCAGAAAATAGACAGTACAGGCGCTGGAGAAGCTCTTCTTCGAACAGTATCCGGAAGGTCATTTACCTGTTCCCTAGATCTTGTCCTGATTTTCTATACGTATGCCTTTCATCTTCTGTTCAGATGGGGAAGAACTGAAGCAATTTAGGCCAATGTTTTTGAGCACCTCTTGAAATGTTCAGCCTCTTGGAAAGGGCTCTCCTTCCCCCAAATGGAAGTCATTATTTACTTTTAGTGATAGGCCCTGAGCTCTATACCACCTAGATGAGTAGAGCATCTGGGAATTTTTCCTTAATGCAAATATTTCTAAAAAACAGCTCAAAGGTCTGTTGCAAATGTTGGTGTTTTTTTTTAATAAAATGAGAAATAGTGATGGCAAATTCCTGGAGGTCAGTTGTTGTCACAGCTCTTTTATAAGTTCAAGAGGATTGTGGTTTGTTTCAGTGCTGCTTCCTCTACAAATTTTGTGTCCACACTGTCACATCCTTCAAAGGGATTCAGAGCTAGAGAAAATAAAGGAGGAGGTTATTGTGAGCCTCTGGCATTTAGGCATGTGGCCTTCCAACTCTTGCATTTAGTGTAAGTTATAATTCAACTCAGAGAATTTCAGAGTTGGAAGAGCACTCTCTGGGGTTATCTAGTCCAACCCAAGCAGGACTCATTCAGAAAATTCTTAATCAAGGCACCATTGTAATCATGAGGTATTTTGAAAAAGGAAATTTTTTTTTTCTAGGCAATGGGGTTAAGTGACTTGCCCAGGGTCACACAGCTAGTAAGCATTATGTGTCTGAGCCCAGATTTGAACTCAGGTCCTCCTGAATCCAGGGCCAGTGCTCTATCCACCACGCCACCTAGCTGCCCCTTGAAAAAGGAAAGTTGCACAAGATCAAATGTTAAATAAAACCCAAGCAGAAAGCAGGAAGTCCCTCTAATATATCCTCAAACATGGCTACCAGCCTCTACGTGAAGAACTCAAGAGATGGGGAATTCATTCCTTAGTGATAAAAACTACTCTGCTCTTGGATTGTTCTAATTGGTTTTTTTTCCCTTTTTTTCTTTTTTTTAAAATTTTTCTTTTAAAAATTTTTTTTTCCATATGCTTTTGAGTTGAAAATTTTTCTCCCTTTTTCTCCCCCCCACCCTCCCCAAGACAGCGCACAATCTGACATAGGCTTTACATTTACATACCCATTAAACATATTTTCACATTAGTGAAGTTGTAAGTAAAAATTTAAACCAATAGGAGGAACCATCAGAAAGATGAAACAAAACTCAACAGAAGGTAAAAATAAGTGAGAGCGATTCAACTTCCATAGTTCTTTCTTTGGATATGGACAGCATTTTCCATCCCGAGGCCTCTGGAGATGTCTTAGATCCTCGTAATGCTGAGAAGGGTTCGGTTTAACATTCCTAGTCATTGAACAACGTGGCTGCTATTATGTACAAAGTCCTCTTGGTTCTGCTCACTTCACTCAGCATCAGACCATATAAGTCTTCCCAGGTTTTTTCTGAAGTCAGCCTGTTCATCATTTCTTATAGCACAATAGTATTCTATTACATTCATATACCACAACTTGCTCAGCCATTCCCCAATTGACGGGCATCCTCTCAATTTCCAATTCTTTGCCACCACAAAAAGACCTGCTATGTATATTTTTGTACATGTGGGTCCTTTTCCCATTTGTTTGATCTCTTTGGGATATAGCCCTAGAAGTGCTATTGCTGGATCAAAGGGTATGCACATTTTTGTAGCCCTTTGGGCATAGTTCCAAATTGTTCTCCAAAATGGTTAGATCATTTCACAACTCCACCAACAATGTATTAGCGGATTGTTCTAATTGTTTAGAATGATTTTTCTGAAACAGGACCAAAGTCTACCTATCTACACTTTCCACTAACTAGACCAAGTTCTGCATTTTGGGGCCAAGCTTTTCAGAAGAATTTTAGTCTCTATTTAGTAAAGGTTATGTACACAGAATAAAATAGCACTTCATGTATAACTTCCAATCTAGGTGTTTTAAAGATGGAGAAACTGAGGTAGTAAGAAAGTTAAGGCTTCATCCAAAGACTTTGTGTGGGAAAGAGCATGAAATAGCCAGGAGACTCAAGCTCAGTTCTGGCTTTGCCTCTGACTTAGGACCACAGATTTAGAAGGGATCTCAAGGGCCATCTAATCCAACCCCCTAATTTTGCAGATAAGGAAACTGAGGTCCAAAGAGCTTAAATGACCTGCAGAGGGAGCAAATCTGTACCACCTGGGGCAAGTCACTGAAATCCTCTGAGCTTGAGTTTTTCCTTCTGTAAAATAAATACACTTTGACTAGATGATGTCTCAGCGCACTGCAAGGTCTAACATTCTCTGATTTGTATGTGTCTAAATAGAGAATAGAACTTGGATTTCAGCTTTTGGACAAAGCAGAAGCATGATGCCTTCCTACCTGGACATTAAATAGACAGAAACAGGTAGAACTGAATACAGAACGAAGAGTACCTTGACGAGCAGTCTCCAGCTCTGTCAGTACTTCAATCAAATAATTCAGAGGCAGGAATTCAATAAGGAATGATGACTTGTCCATTGTAGAATTTCGAGACTAAAAAAGAAATCATTCATAAGATTAGTTTGTTCTGAAGGTTAACCGCCCCTTTAAGTCAAGTAGTTAGAACCAATGAAAACTACGCAAAAGTGGTATCAGCTGCACCAGGAGGTACCAAAGGTTTCTCAGCCCTAGAGGTTTATAAGCAAGCACAGGAGGCGAGGGCCTTTGGGGGCTGTTCAAACTCTAAGGATTCTGTGAATATCTTAACTGACAACTCGGATCCAGGCAGACTTACTTTAAACTTTGAAGAGGCATCAGTATGGCTACTTCCTTCAGTAGTACAGATCAGAACCCCATTCATGCATGACTCATCCATTGCCACAGGGAGTCCACCGAAAGTGCTTGGTTCATCAAATCTTAACATTACATGGATATCAAAGGAAGACACAGGCTATGTATTTGTCACCCTTCAGTTGTGCTGCATGGCCCCCTCACTGCCCTTTCTAGTTGCACATTTAGAGTTATAGAATCATAGATCTAGAGTGGGAAGGGATGTCGCTTTTTATAGTTTTACATTCAGCACTTCTGTGAAATTCTTTGTTAGCAATGGGCTCAGCCTATCTATGTCCACTATATAACTCTCCCTTGTCTCTTTGGATGACCTATAATTTTAATTTTTCAGAGACTGAAATAATTCATACTTATTAAGGAGAGAGAGGGGGGAGAGAGAGACAGACAGACAGACAGATAGAAATATTTATTGAGTGATTTCTGTGTGCCAGGCCCTGTGCTAAGCACTGGGAATACGAACACAAATATAACAGGGTTTTGGCACGTTCCTAGACCAGCCATGTGGAAGACTCCAGGGAACTGATCCTGTGAGACAGACTTGATGACATTCTACACTGGCCTAACCATGTAGATGGGACAGAAGCCTCTTTCCATTGGCTGCATAGCTGAAACTATTTGAGTCTTTAAATCTACTTAAGACACAAGCTCTCTCTTTTCCAGCAGTGTCCAGGGGCAGCAGAGGCACCATAGAGTAAGCTGGGGAAAAGGGCCTAGGACTAGCGGTGGGAAATCTGCAGCCTCAAGGCCACATGTGGCCTTCTAGGTCCTTGGGTGTGGCCTTTTGACTGAGTCCAAGTTTTACAGAACAAATTCTTTTATTAAAAGAGGTTCCCCACCCCTGGCTATGCCCTAGGCCCTAGGGTATCACCTTCTCTCCCTCCTTCCCATCCCCATTCCCCAGGCCCTGTGACCCTGAGAAGTGGGTTTGGGGATTTGGTGTTGTTTTATTTATCCTTTTCAGTTCTAGATGCAAAGACTGAAATCCTGGATCTAGGACCTCAAACTAAGGGAATCTTGGATTCCAAGCCAGATGTGGCAAACAGTTTTGCAATTACAAGAGTTCTAGGAAACCAGGATGTCAGGAAATAAGTCCATCAGGATTTGGACTTGAATTCTGTGGGACTAATGCTACGTAGAAAGTGAGTTAAACATGACTAATGTGCAAATATGTTTAATACAATTGTACATGTATAGACTATATCAGATTGCCTGCCATCTTGGGGAAGTGGAGGGAGGGGGAGAAAATTTAGAACTCAAAATCTTATAGAAGTGAATAGTGAATACTGAAAACTAAAAACAAATAAATAAATAAAATTGAAAAATAAAAAAAAAAGAAAGTGAGGTGAATTGTGAGGCTAATCCCATTCCTCTCTCTGGAGACTGAGTAGACATAGAGGGGACTGTTCACCCAGTTGTTGGGGTGGGGATGTTTGCATGTTCTTGTTGTGCCTTTGAAGGAAATATTCCTTTGTGAAAGCCAATCTGGCTGTTAAAGGGCTAAATGGAGCTGAGGTAGTAGGGCCCCTAAAATTGGGGAACACATTCTAAAGGCACGGCCCAATGGCAGAGATAAAGAGGTTACCCCAATCTCCTAGAGCTACAGGAGTGACCTTTGGGGAGGCGTAAGGTAATATACCTGGCCTTTAGGCAGTGGGGGCCAAAGTAACGCCCATTAGATGGGTCACTATTGCAACAGAATGACCCCCACCTTTCCCTTCTCTACTTACTCTCCTCAGGAGTCCTCCATAAACAATTCCCACCACAGCCTGTAAATGAAAAATCTCTACCCTCTAGCCCTTCTTGAGTAACCTCCCTGCTTCTGAAAATAGGAATAACTACAGATCTCAGGGATTTTGTGCCCAGCCAACCCACTGCCAGAAGTTGTTATACAAGCAAAAGGAAAAAAAAAACAGTTCTAACATTATAAAAGGAACATTACATTCCAATGGTAAAGACAACATATAAAATGGAGCTGAAAAGGGAGTAGAGGAGGTACCAACAGGAAAAGTGGAAAAGTCTGGAGACTCAGAAGCAGAGAGAGGAGAGAAGGGAGCTGTGGCTGCCTTGGACACTTCTTCAAATGGAGGTTCCAAGGCAGGAACTCATTTGGGAGGAAGGGGCCAGCCACAGGGTGGGAATCATCTTCAGAGTAAGAAGGCAGTTGGAATGGGGGTAGAAAAATCCAGAGAGTCAGGAGCAGAGCTGAGAGAAAAGGACAGATCTTTGTTCACGGAGAAGCTTGGGTTTATCATTAAAAGCTCTCTATGATTTACCAAAGGATTCAATCCACTTCTAGGCCCACCCGACTTTCCATTTGCAATAGTTTATCCACCCACTTTACTGTTCATTTGCAATATTTATTCAAGATATTAATTACTGACAGGCTAGCTTTACAGGCTGTCCTTTCAATTGCATAATACAATCTGGATAAGAAGCATTTTTCCTCCCTGGGTAGTTAAGCCAAACTCTGGAGTGATTGTGGTTCTTTAAAGAGGACCTTTAATGTTCATAATCTTAATTCGATCAGCACAACATAATCAAGAGAGGAACATCTGGAGGGTCTTCTACCTTTTCCATTTGGACTCTGGTAGGCATCCTACATGAAAGCAGCTAAGACCTTCTGAGAAATATGTGTCCCTGTTGTATGCCTCACTACTGATATTCTCACTATAAACAAAACTAGTAAACCAAGGCTGGAGCTCAATGGAGTTTAGAACTAAAGAAACAAATAGAATATTTGGTTTTAGAGATGATCAAAAGAAAACAAGAAGGGGCAGCTAGGTGGTACAATAGAGCTCTGGCCTTGGAGTCAGAAGAACCTAAATTCAAATCTGGCCTTGGACACTTGATACTTTCTAGCTGTGTGACCCTGGGCAAGTCACTTAACCCCGACTACCTCACCAAAAAGAAAAAGAAAAAAAAGAAGAAGAAGAAGAAAACAAGAAACATCACTTCATGGGACATTTGATCATGCCCCATTGCAGTGCTCATGATGGGGATTTCCAGAAAGATCACCATGAAGATAATTGCAGCCTGTGCTTATTGCAAAGGATGCAAAGGATGCAAAGGATGTGCTTATTGCAACATTTATTGTAAAGGATGAAGAGGCAGAGAAAGACAATATTCCCTTGTATTTAAAGCCTTCAAAGTAACTCAAAATGTTCTTTTACAATCTGTGATTTCAATGCAATAAACAAATAGGAATAGGTAAAGACAGCAAATAATATGGTGGAAAATACAAATTTGGAATAAAGAATGAAAAAGGTGAGAAAACTACATACTCCAAAATGAGTCTCACATCTATTTATCGAAAATATTTTTTTTCAAAAGAATTATAAGGTACTAGATATGGAGAGCAATGAACAACATGTTAAAATGGAATTTATTTTAGTTTAGCAGAAAGGAAATCACTCCTTCATTTTTTTCCCCCTCTGGGCTCTGCTACTCATCCCCCAACTTCTTTCTCCACCACTCCCCAGCAGCCTTCTCATCCTGGAAGATCCCTACACCCTTGTGGCCCTTTCTTCTGATTGGTCAGTTCCTCCTAGAACTTCTATTTATAGGAAGAGTCCAGGCCAGTCATGTCCACTCCTTCATCCCTCTCTGGACTTCACTCCTGACCATGCCCCAGTGTAGGTATGTTCTCTCCCCACCTTGCATTTCAGCTTCCTTTTATGTGTTATCTTCCTCCATTCCAATGTAAGTTCCCTGAGGGCCAGGACTAACTTTATTTTGTTTCTGTTTGCATTCCCAGAGTTTATCACACTACCTGGTACACAGTAAGTGATTAATAACTGCTTGTTGACTTGTCAGCTTGACTCACTATTGATACAGGAGTCATTCCTGAACTAGCTTTTTTTTGTATAGTCAGACCTCAATTTGTTAAAGATCAAAAATCAGAAAAAGCTAAAAGAATCTTTTTAAATATTAAGGAAAATATAATATACAATTATAACTATCTACCTAGTAAAGTGAATTCTTGATAACAAAAAAATAAGATATAGATAGAAGAAAGGAGATACACATCAATTATAATTATTTCATACAAAAGTTTAACATATATAATTTAATCAACTGACATGAAGAAAAGACAAAAAGAGCCTAAAAATATAAGGAAACACTTGACTTACCAAATAGAGAGATATGGCAGCCAAGGAAAAACACTGTTTTAAAACATAACCTTTTTTTTTTTGTAAAAATGGTAGAAGATTATAAGCAAGGTCAACCAGTAACACAGAGAAACAATAGAGAGTAAAACTACTTTAAAGAAATATTGCTGGTGCAGCTAGGTGGTGCAGTAGATAGAGCCCTGGCCCTAGAGTCAGGAGGACTTGAGTTCAAATACGGCCGCAGACACATGATACTTACTAGCTGTGTGACTCTAGGCAAGTCACTTACCCCTAATTGCCTCATATTTAAAAAAAAAAAGAAAGAAAAAAAGAAACCTTGCTAAGAGACCCAACTAAGAAAGTCATCCTTAACTATGAAAATGGAACAAGGATAAACAAAAGTAAATTGGAAAAGATCTGTAAAGATTTTTTAAAAAAGTATTCATCATCAAAAAGTTGGGGTTACCACAGTTCTATAATATTACAATAAAATATCTTCTGTGCATACATCTAAATTATGCAAAATTAACTGAAATGCATAACAAGAGAGATAACTTTTATCAATGACCCTGAAATCATTATTATCAGGTGAGGCTTATAAAAAAAAAAGGGAAGAAATATGTTCTCCAAAGGTGTTTGCCACTGTCATGGAGGAAATCCAGCACAAAGTCCAAGCTGCTAAAGGATCCACTAATGATGGTGAGATTTCCAAGATGCTCCTGTATGCAATCACCAAATGCTTAGTTATATCAAACCCCCAAACACTGCAGAGGCTACTAAATGAGATTCATAACCATTCTGAAAAATTTGTCCTCTCTCTCTACCCAGGAAAACCAAATGGAGGAAGAATACCTGTTGTCTAGATCAGCACTTCTTAAACTGGTTAAGAAGTGCTGAAGATGTAGCAAGTGGAAGAGGTTTAAGAAGCCCTGGTAGATCATGGACAGGTAGATGAACAACTAGAAAACTCAAACATCAGGATGTGTGTCTTGAATAGTCTTTGCAAATGGACACTAAGTTGGGCACAGAATTAAACGAGAGGTGGAAAGGCAGTCAATTGGTCTTTGGGAAACTGGAAAGTTTTTTTAATGACTCCAGAAAGAAAGAAGAAATGAAGAAAAGGCCATCTTTTTAATGCTGCATTCCATGGCAGGGCAGCTAGGTAGTGCAATGGACAAAGTGCCGGCTCTAGAACCAGGAAGACTCAGCTTCCTGAGTTCAAATCTGTACTCAGACACTTCCTAGCTATGTGACCCTGGGCAAGTCACTTAACCGTGTTTGCCTCGGTTTCCTCATCTCTAAAATGAGCTGGAGAAGGAAAGGGTAAACTACTGTAGTATCTTTGCCAGGAAATCCCCAAATGGGCTCATGAAGAGTTTGACATGGCTAAAATAACTGAACCACAAAAAACCCATGACTGTGAGTGATGGAACATTACAGTCTCCAAAAAAGTTGAAAGGAATATAATTCAAAGGTAATGGAGGAGTACACAGTGATTTTGAGTAGGCCATGAAACATAACGCTAACCGAAATATGAAGAACCAGAATAATGGAATGTATAAATGTATAAATGAAACAACAAAAGTGCTAGGTACTAGGTAAGAACAAAGGATGATTAATGGATAGTTGTGTGCTCCACTGGTATTTTTTTTTTTAGGCCATTGGGGTTAAGTGACTTGCCAACAGTCACACAGCTAGTAAGTGTCAAGTGTTTGGTCTGAGGCCAGATTTGAACTCAGGTCCTCCTGACTTCAGGGCCGGTGCTCTATCCACTGCGCCACCTAGTTGCTCCCTGGTATTTTCATAAAGTCAAGAAAAAGAGAGTAAGGTACCTGGAACTATGGGTATACTTCCTGTTGTGAACTTATGGAAAGACACTGACAAAGTTGCACAGTGTGGGAAGGCATTGATGGATCTATATCATGGGGTCACATCAGTGAGACTACAAATTCATTTGAGTATTTTAAGTAACAACATTGATTTTTTTTTGTAATCTTTGGTATTCTCCCTCTACCTTGAAACTAGATAACTCACGGTCCTCAAACTTGTCCCCTGTAGCATGGACCTTCTCAGTATATATGCCTGGTCTGGTCCAGCTGTTTTTCCTATCTTGGTTTTCTTAAGTGCCACTTCTATTTACTTGCACAGTAAGTACCTCAGAGGGTATATGGCAGTTCCACTATCACTGATGAAGAAAATAATTTGCTATAATCATCTTGACAGATTTATTCTGCTTTTCATCTTTTTGGTATCCTTCCAGTTTCATTCTTCTACATTCTCAGGATCTGGCTCATAGTCTTTGACTATATTTTTTGTAACCTGTTTTTCCATTCCATTATATCTTACTATTTCCTGAAACAATTATGCTTGTAATCTTATGATTTTACAAAAATAATTTATATTCGAGACTGGTATTGCACTTGACTGCCATATCTTTTCTTGGCAAGAAAATCAATTGTTTGCTAATTGGAGTCATTTCAAGGTTCTTTTGGTCTCTTTGTTGTGACAACTGATTTATATCAGTTATATTTCCATAGGAAATAATGATACTCTATGTTGGAAGTCTGTTTTTTTTTAATTCATTTCCCTTTTTTTTGATGCTAAAAGCTTGTTTCAGAGGAGATGTGGTATAGTGGATATAGGGAGGTGGCCTTGAAGCCAAGAAGCACTGGGTTCAAATTTCACATCTGAAACATATGGGCTTTGTGACCCTGAACAAGACATTTACCTCTCAGCCCTCTGGGCCAATGGTGTCAAACTCAAATAGAAACAGATCCCTGCCTAGCTGCATATTGACTTAGAAAACCACAAATAAATGTTAGCTATCTCATATTACATTTTTACTTATTTTGCTTAAAGTCTCTCAATTACATTTAAATCTGTAGTGAGTCACACCTCTGCTCTAAACAAGCCTCAAAGACAGTAGGTTGCAGATAAAGCGGGGACCTGCGTTGATAAAGGGAGTTTCCTCTTCTGTGAGTTCCTTATATTAATGAAGTCACAGGACCCTTTTCCTATCCCAAACCATAATAGATCAGGTTGGAATTTTAAAAATTGCATGCCATCCATATATTTTCATTTTCATTTTCTCTTCAAATGTGATATTGAATATAGCCTTTGTTCTCTTCAGTGGATGGTCTGACTATACATAGATTTGTAAATGACTCACATTGAGAACTATCATTTTTGTTTAATTAATTAATTAACAACAACAACAACAACCACACTAAACAGCTAACATTTACATAGCATTTACTGTGTGCCAAGCCCTTTACTAACACTTAACAATTCTTATCTCACTGAGCCTCACAACAACCCTGTGAGGTAGGTACTATTATCATCCCCATTTTACAGATGAGGAAACTTAAGGCCCAGAGTCACACAGCTAGTAAGTGTCTGAGGCTAGATTTGAACTCAGTTCTTCCTGGCACTCCCTATACCACCCAGCTACCCCTAGCTATTAAGAGAGGGGTAGGATCCTGACACGTGATTTCATTGGTATAGGGAGCTCCAAGGTAAGGAAACTCCCTCTACCAATGCAGGTCAGTACCTTCTCTGCAACTGAGATTTTCAGTTTCCCAGGGTCACCAAGAAGTTCGGTGACACCTAAGACTATTGAACCAGTGTGTGCCAGAGGTAAGACTTGACCCATGTCTTCCCGGCACAGAATCCAGCGAGACAGGGGCTGTACCACACTGCCATTCACACTGGTGTGATGAATAAAGAGCTAGCCTTGGAAATAGTCTGTTAAGACATAGTAACTTAGACGTTTGCAATGCTATTCATTGTACATGATGTCCAACATTACCGGACTCTCTTGAGAAAATTATTTATTTAAATATTTATGACATCTTGGTATGAGGCATCTATGCAGGCACCCAGCCTTTGGCTACTTTCTTATTCCTGAGCCATATTTTCCCATATATTTTTCAGCCTCCTCCTCTTCCCCTGTGCCCAGCTTTCAAAAAAGTCCACAAGTATTAAACTACATGTTGATATACTTTGGAGAATTTTTGAGTTCTTAATAGAATTGTCCTACCTCCTCATTCTCTTTAGCAGATATTTTCACTTAAATGGCAATTGTTTTTATGGTCATCTTTTTTTTTGGATGAGCAAGGATGGGGGGAGGAAGGGAGAGAGCAAACATTTATTCATTGCTTACTATGTGCCAAGGTGCTTAACAAATATTATCTCATTTGATCCTCTCACCAACTAAAGGTGGGCTATTATTATTCCCACTTTAAAGTCAAGGAAACTAAGGCAGATGGAGGTAAAGTGACTTGCCAAGGGTCACACAGCTCGTGTCTGAGACTGGGTTTGAACTCACGTCTTCCTGACTCCAGACCCAGCGTTCTATCCACCGCACCACCTGGCTGCCTGCACTGTAGGATTACAAGACCAAATCCCAAGAAATAATACTTCATAGACAAACAAGTCTTAAAGATATTTTAAAACAAATTTTGAAAGCAGCAATAATGATGGATGATGTTATATAGCCCTTTAAAATTACCAAAACTCCATGAGGTAGGTTGCACAAATACTATTTATCTTATCAGTGGAGACTCTACACCTCTGAGTGATAAGTGGTCTCAAAAGTCAGTAAATCAGAGAGCCAGGAGTTATTCCCAGATCCTCTTATTCCAAATTCAGTGATCTATCCACAAACATGTATGGGATCAGATCTCACACCCAACCTTACCTGTCTCTTATGCTTCTGAAGCAACCGTTTCACATAGTTCCTTGAAATAATATGAGAATTGACAGGATGATCCCATACTTGACTTATCTTCTGCATAATAAACTGTTAAGAAGGAGAAAGTATAAGGGAAAAAAATTACCTCCTAAAAATTCATAGTCTTAACTATTTTATTCAAGTGAAGTTACTCAGAGAAAGGGACTGAAACATTAAGGCTGACAGTCTCTTGGGGACAACACTATTGCCCTCTTAGCTATGCTGTTGAATCCTGACTAAATTCTCCTGAAAATATTATATTGCAGTTGACAGAGACTGGACTGTGCAGAAGCAAGGTCAAGCACCTCTCAGTGCTTGATGCTTTTGGAAATTTGGAAGTTTACATTTCCAAATTACATGAGATACTTTTGGAAATTTGGAAATCTATATGCTAGTCCAAAGTGATTTAATTGTGAGACAAATGCACTGAATTCCAATTTTTTGCTTTTCTGCACAGAAGCTAGTGATGAGGTTTTCCTCGCCAACCATTGCTTTGGTCTTTAAACAATCATTATCAGGCTTGGAAAGTTAAGGAACCTTCCATATAGGGGAGAACTGGGCCAAAGGGAGTATCGGGGCAATATGGGTGTGTGCACAGGATACACAAAGTATGCTGGGATCCGAATGATGACTAAGTATGCTTTCCCCATCCATCTCCACCCCAAACAAGGTCACATTTCTAAAGAACTTGCCCTGGAATTTCATATTTTCCCATTATTTCTGGCTTCACTAGCTCATCTCTACCACAAAAACAAGGAACATCCTTTATAACCCTTTCACCTTCATGCTTTTCATTCTTCCTAAGACCGGAGAATACTTTTCCCTAGTGGGAAGAAAAGCTGTGGGAGGAAACATAGGTTCCATGACCTCCTGACATCACCTGGATTTAAATGACGCAAAATCATTTCCCTTACTTCTCACAATTGCTGATGTAAATATTGCACAGTTTTCTAAATTATGAAAAAAAAAACTGAACACAATGCGTATTTGTTATATTTGTATATGCGTATTTGTTATATAGGCTTTCTTGAAATTGAAATTTATTGTATATTTTGAATCCTTTCTTACGTTCTGCTGTGCACATGGCAATGCTTTTTTCCCCCTTATTTTATATGTAAGTTTTAACATTTAAGTTTATAATATATTCCTTTTTCTTTTCTTTTTGTGTATTTAAGTTTAAAAAAAAAGAAAAGGAAAAAACCCAAGTATTCATGTGAGCCATGCCAATGAGTTTTATCCATGAGAATATGTCAGAGAGTGCTGGATCTTGATACACCATCATGGATGGAGACAACAATTAGTGTGACTTCATGGAAAGGAGCTGGAAAGCAAAATAATCCAATGGCATTTAGCTAGAAATGAGCTAATGAAATGAGAAACGTCCTCTTTCCAGAAAAGAAAGGATTTCAGCATTAGGGAGGCACCACTCCAAGACATAATGAAAAAATTAAGTAAAATTCAAGATTACCGGAGGAAGACGTGCAACTATACTGAATTTAAGTTTTTCATTCTTCTCTGTGTTGTCCAGATCTATGAGACAATCAAAAAGGCCAGAAAATGATTAAAACCATTCCATTTTTAGTATTATAGACTGTTACTAAAGTTAGTATCTAAAATTTGAAAATTCATAGACTTTATAATGGTGTTCTTTAGATAACACATACCACCATCACTGTGGTCCCCACAACCTGAGAGCTTTGGAAATCACACTGGGTGACTTTATGGGAAAACAAACTTTTTAATGAACCGTTTTCCTAGAAAAAAAGTTTACATAACATGCAGAACATATGAATCCATTATAATCCAAAATGACTGATCCTGAAGATGACATGTGCAGAAATCACAGAGCCAGAGCTGGAAAGAACCTCATAGCAATCACATAGCAGATTCCTCAGGATCACAAGATCAAAGACACAGGGCTGGAAAGGACAGACATTGGAAGTCATCTAGTCCAACTCCCTGGTTTTATAGTTAAGGAAACAAAACAAAGGGGTTAAATGATTTGTCCAGGATTATACGGGAAGAGTCTAACACACTGTCAACACTTAATAAATGCTTATTGACTAATTGACTTAAATGCCTGAGATGAAATTTGAACCCAGGTCTTCATGATTCCAAGTCCAACACTCTATCCATTATAGAATTGGGGCAATAACATTTCATCCAAAAAGTTGCTGGACAGCTAGGAACAATGGAAAGGCTGTTGGATTTGGCATCAGAGGACATGGATTTGAATCTTGGATCTGCCACTTACCGCCTGTGCTGCCTCAGACATTTAACACTGATGGGCCTCAGTTTCTTCATCTCTAAAATGTGAGGGTTGGGCTAGATGGATTCTAAGGGCCCTTACAGTTATAAGTCTGCAATCATAAGTTCCTGATTTAAGATACCCTGGCTGTATACTAACACCGTCCCCTCTGCTAAGCAACACTTCAACTTAAAATGGGACTAATTCTATAATATAAATGCTAGAGCATTACTTGCGTTGATTTTATTTGAAATGAAATTCAAACAAGAAAAAATATATCTCTCTATATAACTCTCCTGTGCTTGCTTTTCTAGCATGAAGCAGCCTGATTTTGAAATGGGAATGTTAAAGAGCTGAAAGTGAGCCATTTGATGACACATTCTTGGACAACAAGCCGAGAATCTTCCTAGCCTCAAGTGCCTCTATGTTCTGTAAAGTAATCTAACTGGAGGGGAAAAATAGCTAAGAATCAAGTGAGAAATCCCTAGGGTCTCTTCAAGAGCTGAAGCAGTTTAACTTGGTTGAATTAGGAAAAAGGATTACTTCCAAGAAATGAGACACATGAAGGCTGGAACCAGCCCTCTAGCTCGATCAAATGCATTTACCTTTCAAGAGTTTCATAACCCCTTTTTCTGTAAGAAGTAGCACTTTGTCATCAATGTAGCGTAGCAAGCTGTGCAGGGGGAGACATCGGACTCCTAGGGTCATGTGCAGAGTGTGGAAGCCTATGAAGGGAAATCCAAGGAGGCAAACACAATGGAGTCAGAAGATGGACCTAGTATATGGTTAATGAAGACAGACTTTACTATATGAGGTTCAGTGTTTCAATGACAACAACTGGGGGTGTACACAAACTTCCAGATTCATCTAGTTAGTAGGGAAAGGAACATATCTCTAGAAATATTTAATAGAAAGGGTGACCCATGAAAAGGATGTCATGAAACATGTGGCAGAATGGACAAATAAAATCTGAAACCCTAAAAAGGATAATCATAAAAGTCATACTCAGGCAACCTCTGATTTATGGACATCCCCTTACTTACATATAAATGGCTACCAGGGAATGATTACCCCAAGCCAAGTGACGATAGTTTAAATCTTTCCTTCTGAGAGAATACATTTAAGATTTCGTTCTATTCTTCCCTTCCCCTTCCCATCAAAGACTTCCCTACTGTCCTTGGGCCCCTACTGCTGACAACTCCAGTCCTTATTTTTTTTAATCATTCATCCTAATGCTGACTCCAAGTATAATACTCTATCCATTATACCATTGGCTCAATGACATTTTATCTAAAAAACTTCTTGATAGCAAGGTATAATTGAAAGAATCTTGGATTTGGAGTCAAAGGACATGGATTTTAATCTTGGTCAAGGAAGAAAGAGAGAAGTAAGCTGCTTGGACTATTCCCTGGGTGCAGTATTGGTCAAAAATACTCAGGAGAGGGCCTATCATAGTCCTATAGTGAAGTAACTCACATTAATATAGAGCCTTAGAGTTTACAAAGCACTTTACACATATTATTTCATTGTATAATGTTAGGAGGGTGGATGGAAGTTCAACACTTCAATGTAATATTAATGTAATTCCAGAATACCATAACATCTAAATACATAACAGAAAAACTAAATTAATTATAGGGAGAAATGAACAGTTAAACTGTAATGGTGGGGGGCTTCAAGATACTAATTTCAGACCTAGACAAATATAACAAAAAGAAGAAAACACAAGAACAAAATTTAAAATGTGAATAGACTTTTAGAAAAGTTAGATGTGATAGACCTCTGGTAATTACTAAATGGGGATAGAAAAAAGTATACATATTTCATAACTGGCTAGGATATCTTTATAAATAATGACCATATACAAAGGCATAAGTGGCCAGCTAGGTAGTGGATTGGATAGAACACTAAGCTTGGAATCAGGAAGACTCATCTTCATTAGTTCAAATTCAGCTTTAGATACCTACTAGCTATATGACCTTGGGAAAGTCACTTAACTCCATTTGTCTCAGTTTATCATCTGTAAAGTGAGCTGGAGAAGGAAATGGTAAACCACTCCAGTACCTTTTCCAAGAAAACCCCAAAATGGGGCCATGAAGAGTCAGACATGACTAAAAACTAAAAAAAAAAATAACTTCATAAAAAACTCACAAACAAATGTAGAAAAACAAATACTATAACATAAAGGAAAGTGAAACAATACTTCCTGATGAAAGACAGACCACAATGGAATCTTCAAAGATAATAAAACAACATAAAGCCATTCCAGAATGGTTCAAAAGAAAAATAAACAAAATAAAAAATCAGATATGAATTTGTTATAAATCACACTTCTCACTACAGGAAATTAGAACTCTCAATGCAGAATTTAATAACAAATGGCAGAGAAAGAAAAAAAAATGTATACATGATAGAGAAAAGCTTTCCAAAGAAATAGAAGCTATGTAAGCTAAAACAAAAAATGTGGAACAAAAAATATTTACAAAAGTAGAAGAAAGTTTGACAGGAGAGAGGCAAAAGACAACAATGTTAGAAGAATATATGAATCCTACATAATCCAAAATGACTTGAAGATGACTTGTGCGGAGATATCATAGAACCAGAGCTGAAAAGTACCTCATATGACATCTATTCCAATCCCTTAATTTTTACAGATGAGTCAGCTAAGTGGTACAGTGGTAAGATCATTGAAACTTAGCATCAAGAAGACCCAGGTAAATTCTGCCTTGGATGTTTCATAGCTACATGACCACTAATAATTCACTTATCCTCTCAACCTCAGTTTTCTCATTTATTAAATGGAATGATAATAATGTTGTTAATCCTTCATTTTCAAAGAGAACTAATGACATCACAGGATGATGTCTTGACTTACGTGTAAATTGAATTTCAGTGAGGCAAAGTTGCTCAAAGTCCTCAGCCTCACTATCTCTTCCAGAGTCATCAAAGTCCACTGGCAAAGTCCAAAAGTCAAGATGATTGTCAGTGGTCCCAGATACAGTGGATGACCTTGGCATCTTTGATTTCTGACCAAGATCTAAGCGCTCCACAGTGTCAGCTTTAGCCACCTTCAGAGCCTTTGGAACAAATTGTTCTCATCTGCCTATTCCACTGGGGGAAGTCTTCACATGCTTGGGTTAGACACCCCCCTCCTCACCAATATGTTTGAGGCCTGTTAGTTACCCTCAGTCTGGTTTAGCCCATCTGCTGAGACAGTTTTATCAGGGCATAGTTACTGTGCACGCTAGGGCGTGGTAAGCCCTCACAACAGAGGCGCTAGTCCTCTCTGAGTACCCCATTAATAATCCTATGATAATAATAGCACCTACCTCATAGAATTGTTGTGAAGATCAAATGAGATAACATATATAAATCACTTTGCAAAATTTAAAGTACTATGTAAATATTAGCTATTATCATTATTTACAGATGAAAAAACTGAGGCTCAAGCAAGTTAAGCAACTTGACCAAGGCCACACAGGTAAAATGTTAGAGAAGGTATTTGAACCCAAGTCTTCTGGGTCTAGAGTCAATACTCTTTCCACTATATTATCCTGTCAAGGACCTAAAAACCCCTGGTTTCCTTTCAATGCATGAAATTACTGTCAAACTTTTTAAGACAGTCGACAAAGTATTAATCAAGAAAGGCCACAGATGTTTTAACACTGAGATGCTGAATAGTTAAACTGAACAATTTCAATGCCAAACAGTAAATGTTAGGGGTAGCGAGGTGATGCAGTGGATAGAGCATCAGCCCTGAAGTCAGGAGGACCTGAATTCAAATCCAGCCTCAGACACATGAGAGTCACTAGCTGTGTGACCCTGGGCAAGTAACTTAACCCCGATTGCCTCACCAAAAAACAAACAAACACTAAATGTTGCATGCAATAAGGGAAAGGATCTTCAAATATAAAGGAATGGCAATTTGAACAGCATAGGATTAATCTGCAGTTACAAGGAGAGAGATAGGAATTGAATAGTATATTCCAAAAAGAAAAGCTGTTCAAACTGTAACACAAAATGATATATCCTGCAAACCTGACCCTAGTTATATGAACCAAAAAAGAGAAGATTCTTTGACTTGCAAACACCCTAAACAACAGAAACACAAGAAAGCCAAATATGCACAATTAATAATAAAAGAATAAATAATTAAATCAATTGTCATATTCAGTTATTAATTTTAAAATTCAGAGAAAAATTGATCTATGAGATTAAAAAAAAGGAACAAAGAAAGACTATCAAGGGGATTAAAAGGGAGCAAAGGGGCTAAAAATATCAGTAACATAAAGACTCAAATGAAGGAAAAGTGGAAGATTTGAGCTGAGGTACCATGTACTAAATGTCTCAATCCCTACAACTGAATCAATATCTATTGCAGAGAAAAATAGCAGAGTGGGAGGTTTATGGATATTGGCAGAGAAGGCCAGTCAAAGATAATTTTATATTCAATAAGCCAATTAGCCTTCATCACAATTGGGGAATATCACACAGAAAATAGGAGCCTTCTGCTATCTCACTATATAAAAGACTGTTAAGATGAGAGCAAACCAAGTGTCTTGGTGTCTAACCAAGATGGAAGCACCTGATAATCTTAACACTCTCACATGGTGCTCCCTTTATTTAGTGAAAGCAAGGTGGCGAAAGATAAACAGAAGATTAGAGATAACGTCGGATATGAAACATTTTTTATAGAAATTTGTTTCACAGTTGTCCTCATTAATCCTAAGGACTGCTTTTCATCAAGTCCTAGGAATTCATGTTGGAGTACTGTTGCCTAAACAGTAAGGACTAAGCTTCAGAGAATTCTGAACCCAGTTTCACAACAAACAAATCATGGCCAGGAGGATAGTCCTAGAATCTTGGCAATAATTGGGGTCTAACCTCTACCAAACTCAGCCAATGTTATTAGCAGAACTAAAATTCAGATTAAATTCAATAATATAAAACATAGTTAGACCAGAATCTACACCGAAAAAAAAGACATATTGTCCATTTTGTTATTGTCTCAATATTTACATATTTGACCGACAATCCTCTGGGCAATGAGCTGGGCCCAGAATTGAGTAATAAGAGTAGACTAGACTGGGTCACATATGTGAGATTCCATAATGCAATCAATGATCCTAGGCTGCCAGTTGCCACAAAAGTCCATTTGTAACACCATTATTCTCCTGGTAATGTAATATGCTTGCGTAGCATCATCTTGGAAGTTGAAGTTGAAGTTGCAAATGGCCAAAAAGGTAAGAGGAAAAAGCATGGTAGACATAAATGGACTACATAGTGTTGACAAAAACTCTTTTTATGTGAGAATTGGCATAAAAGACACTGCAGAAGTATGTATGATTAGAAAAGGGTGTGAACTGGCCACATAGTGAGAAGGAAAGCAAACAGAGAGATCACCCAAGTGCTATAATCTCATACAGAGCTATTAAAAGAAAGAGAAAAGGGCCTATCACATATTGGGTGGATCCTCAATGGAGGGTTTATGGAAGGAATAAAAAAGTATCACACAGAATAAGAAGTCTTTGATGATTTGGTATCTGTATGGGTGGGAGAATCCACAATGATGAAATTAAAAAGTCACCAAATGCCAAACTTCCATTATTACCTCTTACTGGATCCAGCAAATTCCTTACAAGCTTGTTAAGAGAAAGTACAAGAAATTCCAAATATGTTCATCTTCAGAAACTTTTCCTAAGTGGTTCAAATAAAAGAAGTTTACAGAAACTATGGTGAACTGGTCTCAGCACAGGAAGAAAAAAAATCTAACAAAAGCAGCATGACCTACAGGCTAAAGTACCAGGGTCAGCTGGTTAGTATCCTGCATCTGACACAAGCTATGTGACCATGAGGAAGGCATTTCACTTCTTTGAGATTCAGTTTCTTCATCTGAAGAATGAGGATGTTATCTACCCCATAGGGCTGTTGTGTGGCCCAATCAAGATAACATGGGCTTTGAAACACATCAAATGTATCTTCCATATTGATCCATAGGCTAGTAAGGCAAAAGACACAGGAGAATTTCCCATAATTCCTGTAACTGTGTACAAACAAGCTATATACAGGATAAAATGGAGATAATCAACAGAAGAACACACTAGAAGTATGAAAGATATGAAAAAGGCTTCCTGTAGAGGTGGTATTGTAGCTGAGACTTGAATGAATCCAGGAGATAGAGAGGAGGAAGAAAAGAATTCCAAGCACAGGAGACAGCTGGTCAAGAGATATAGACATATCTCTCCATATGGAGATATGCACAGGGTCAAGAGATAGAATGCCTTATCCAAGGAACAGCAAGGAGCCCAGTATCACTAGATTACAGAGTACTTAAGGAAAGGTATAAGAAAACTGAAAAGATAGGAGAGGACCAACTTGTGAAGGCAGAGAGACCAACAAGTAGATAAGAGGTGAGGCTTGAAGTGGTTAGGGCATGTCCTAGAGTAGTGGCAGAATCAGAGGAAACAAAGGGGCATATATGAGAGATGTTATGAGCCCTCTGGTTGTTATTCAAATTTTCATGTGCATATATTTCTCTAGTAGAGATTTTATTACAGTAAAATGTTATTATAATTATGATAGCTAATATTTATATAGCACTTTTAAGAGGTTCAAAGCTCTTTGATCTGTTCAGTCATTTTTCAGTCATGTCTGACTCTTTATGATCCCATTTGGGGTTTTCTTGGCAAAAATACTATTTCCTTCTCCAGCTCAGTTTACAGATGAGGAACTGAGGCAAACAGGGTTAAGCGACCTGCCCAGAGTCGAACAGCTAGTAAGTGTCTGAAACTGGATTTGAACTCATGAAGATGAGTCTTCCTGAATCCAGGCCTGCCACTCTATTCACTGCGCCTCCTAGCTGCCCAGAATTTTATTGTAATTATAATAGCTAACATTTATATAATACTTTTAGGGTATATAGAGCTTTTCGATAATTGGAACTAACTTTCATTATACCTATATATATCCAGTGCCTAGAACAGAGTTAAATGCTAGTAAATGCTTGTAGGATTGGATTTGATTGGCAAATGACACAACATTGTGCCAAGTGCTTTGCAAATCTTAAAATACAATGTATACAACACAGATTACTATTATCTCAGACTCATTTTTGATAAGAGGCCAGAGAGATAGTGTTCCAGGACAAGTTATTATTCTATTATTCTTTTGTACATAATGTTCTATGGATTATTGCACATGGTGATAAAATAATTGCTTTTAATAGTTGAATGAAAGTATTAAAAATCTTCCCTTTTTAGGCTCACTGAAAGCATCCTTAGTACCAGCAGCAGATAGAACAGGCATAATATTCACTACATCGTTTTCCCCATATTATTTTGATCTCCATTTCTAGGTCTCCATATTTTGAAAACCTTTTGTTCCATCTTGCTTAGAGACTATGAGTATTTGGAAAAGCAGCTTCTATTAAAATATTTTTCTTAAAGTTTTATGGAATGATGTTATATCCAGGCAATTGTGAACAAAAAATTTAGTTGTAATCATGGCCTGGCTCTAATACAGTCTGTTTAGTTTATTTCAACTGAATATTTGTAGTATGGGGATTTTTCATCTGTTTTTCCATGAAACATAGCAAGCTTCTGATGTATGATTCCAGCCACCAGGTCATTGATTGCTAGGTCTTTGATAAGTAATAAGTTTTTATAGCCTGATTTTATATTTTATACAGTTTCTAGCATTTTCTTGCATAATCAACATTGTTCATTAATTCTAGCTTCTTAAAGATAACCTGTCTGTAATTCAGGGTGCCAATGAACTGGTCTTGAATTGCCATCATAAACTCTTCATTTCCACAAAGAAATCCATGGGATTCAGCCATTTGTTGAATACTTCTTTGCTGACATACTGTTGGCTGAGTTCACGTGGAAGTCACATGGAGGCCTTCTGATTCCATTCTGGGATCTTAGTTTTTTCAATGTCTCCATCCAGAGATAAGCAATTCTAATCCCAATGTTATTTTCCTGTAATCAGCTTTTACTCTTGCTCTGTGAAGTGATGTCTGCTTGTTCCAAGATCATTTCCATAGGTTTCTCCCTCAGTTTATTGTATGTTCCAATGTATAAGCAAAAAAAAATATGAACTGGTCATATAGTGACAGCAAAAGGATGAGCAATGGATAGCTTGTGTGTTCCACTGATCTCCAATCAGTCTCAAGAGAACATTGAGAATCCCCCCAGCATGTTAAGTCTACACTCTGTGGTGGATTTATGCGAGGAGATGTATGGGGAGTTGTATAATACTGGCAGATATGAATGGGGTGAGCTCTGCATTATTGGCAGGAATCTCTATATCACTGAGATCATAGATAAATCGAAGTGTTAGGGAATGAAAAAGAAAAAGATGGGGTGGTTGTGGCCGAGAGACTGGAGAATGTGGATGCATTTGGAATTTCTTTTTTCTGCTCATACATTTTTCTGATGATATTCTTCACACCACTTCTCCAGTATAAATTCCTCATGTAAAATGCGTTATACCCTGTTCATCTCCACAATGCATCTCTCCAATGATTTTGGTTTCCTCACCTTTAAAATGAGGGGGTTACATTAGATGGCCTCTACGGTCTCTTCCAACTCTAGATCTATGGTCCTAAGACCTTGTGACCAAGTCAAAATCTCAACTCCATTTCCTCAATGGGTGTCTTCTGATAACAAAAGAGTATGAATGGCTTATGACAGAAACTCAAGAAAAATTCTCAACAAATCCCTTCATTCTTCTTCCAGAAGGGTAGACCATGAAGTAAGTATGCCACCTACCTTGGCATAATATTAGTCCATGAATTTCCCCTTTTGAAATCAAAGGAGCTTAGCATGTGCTTACAAGCAAGCTTTATGTTCTGTGGGCATTGAGGTGGGGAGGAATGAGGGCTGGGCAAAGAGGCAAGAAAACCTGATCATCCTATATTGTAAAGCTGACAACCATCACTAAGGCATAGCTGAAATGAAACTCGGGCCCTCCAAGAAACACAGAGGACAGAAATAATAGTTTCATATAGGAAACCATTTAGAAGAAGGTCAGAAACTGGATTAAGTAACCCCCAAGGTCCCTTCTTACTCTAAAGTCCAATGCATGTTGTAATAAGAGGGCTAGGGTCAAAAAGATTCCCAAAGGTCTGGATTTATACATGGCCTAGAAACTGACTTAAGAATTGGCTTGCACCTATTCCTTAGCCCTCCTGAGGGAAGCCTCAAGGAACAAGAAAATAGGCTTGCTTAGCCTGCCTCTAAATTTGGTCTATTTCTTCCACGCTGTTGTTAAACAATCAATCAATGAATATTTATTAAGTAGCTCTGTGTGTTGGAGACACTGTACTAGGTGCTAGGGATAGAAGTACAAAGGAGATTAAATTCTTACAAGAGAGATAAACGAGGACATGTATACAGATGGACAAAATAAACATAAAGAGAATAAATATGAATAAATACAAAGTCATTAAATAAATAAATAGCTAGATGCCACAGTAGATAGAGTACCAGGCCTGGAGTCAGGAAGATTCATCTTCCCGAGTTCAATCCAGCCTCAGACACTTACTAGCTGTATGACCTTGGAGCAGTTATTTAATTCTGTTTGCCTCAATTTCCTCATCTGTAAAATGAGCTGGAGAAGGAAATGGAAAACTACTCCAGTATCTCTGCCAAGAAAACAGTGTCACAAAGAGTCAGACACAACTGAAACAACTGAACAACGACAACATATTAAATAAAAGGAGGGATACAAAGAGCCAGGTAGAATGGTGGAGAGAGTGCTGGCCCTGGACTCAGGAGGACTTGCATTCAAAGCTGGCCTCAGATACACACAAGCTGTGTGACCCTGGCCAAGTCACTTAACCCTATCTGCCTCCGTTTTCTCATGTGTGAAATGATCTGAAGAAGTAAATGTCCAACCACACCAATAGCTTTGCCAAGAAAACCCCAAATGGAGTCGCAAAGAGTTGGACATGACTGAAATGATTAAACAACAGTGACGACAAGAAGAAGCAGCTGACATCAGGAAAGACTTCATTAAAAGGCAGTGCATGAGCTGAGACCTGAAGGAAAAGAGGGGTTCTTCAAGTTCAAAGTAGAGATTGAAGGAAGGATTAATGGAAGGCTGCAAGTCTAGTTGGCCTACAGTTGGTCCTAGATGGAGCCTGTCATGAGGTTCATGCAAGTAAAGACCAGGGGTCAGAAGACTCATCGTGCAAATGGGTGGATGACAAAAGCCCTTACCAGGAGGAAGAGGTAAGCACATCCTGTTCACAGAATCCAAAATCTGGGTCATGGTGTGAAAGACTGCAAATTCACCTGCACTGCCACGCCCATCGCTAAGACGAATTACAGAACAAGTCAGATACAGAGTCAGATACATCCCTTCAAGAACCATTTGGCCAATGCCCCAGGTTTAAATAACTATAGCTTATCTACTGGGGAATTCATTTTTCCCATGTCTTGTGGATTTGGGTGGAGGCAAGTTTTACTGATGCCTCTTATTGTTACATCATAGTCATTTCTGAATATACCCTCCACCTACCCCTGCTTTCCACCCACTCAACAGGCCTTCCCTTGGAATAAAAAAAAAACCAATAATTAAGCAAAACCAACCATATCTGACAGCATATATGTAACATTTCAAATGGGGAATCCATTGTAATCATTAATACTTTACCTTGTGGAAAATTTCTAAATTAGCTTTATACTAGTAACCATATCAATCCTAGCTGCTTTAAGAATGTGACTGGGCTGATAAAATACTCAGGCTTATAAATTATATTAACTTTAATTCACCTAGTTAAATCATTTATGTGATTTCCTGAGGCTTTGACATTTATTAAGTTCCTACACACTGAGAGAAGGAGATAGGAGAAGAAGAGTGATTGGAAATAGGGATAGGAATCTGGAAAGGTCCTGTGATTTTACTGGTAAAAGGAATTCTCAGGTGAAGAAATTTTCTCTACCAGTTCAGGATCATCAAATTCTCTGCAACTAATAGTCTTAATAGACAGTTGCCTAGAGCACTAAGAGGTTAAGTGACAGAGTCACTCAGCCCATATGTGTCAGGCAGTGAATCTCTCTGTCCTGTTCTCTATACACCATATCACATTGCTAAACTGATATTAATGGATATGAGGGCAGTGGTAAGTGCTTTGAGCTAAGAGACTGGAGAGGGAGGTGAGGTTTGGAATGGGGGTGGGTGGAAGTAAAGTACAAAACGTCCCTTAATAGCACACAGCGGCCAAGAATTGTTTTGACCCTTTGTACCACATGGCAGACCAGGAACAAGAAATACTTGCATACAAGTGGAAAACCCAGGAATGAAGATTGTGTTTCCTCCAGCTAGTTTCCAGCATCTGGCAAAGGAGGTCCAGCTACAGTACAAGAGAAGAGGAAACATGTGAGACCGAACCGCCAGAGGAGGAAAGTAATTAACCTCCCCTGAGTGGAGTTTCCCTCAAGTTTCAATTCCCCCATTTGAACAACACAGGCCCTGCCAAGTGTAGGCCAAACTTGTTCGCTGCAGCTGCTATTGATGCTGTGGCTGGGACACAGAAAATGTCCCTCTGAAGCCACTTTCATATCAGCATACAAAAATGGAAAAACGGGAAATGAATGTAACTATCTAAGAAGAGAATGTAACTAAAACTCAGCTAAAATCCTGTCTTTTACAGGAAGACTTTCCCCACTTCTCTTCGTTCCAACCTCTCTATAAATTACTTCCTATATGACTCAGTCACAAGTATTGTAGATAAAAATGCTGACTGGGACTCCATTCCCTACTGAGTAATTCAAGAATGAAATCCAAATGTAATTGTGAAACTTAAAACACTTTCTTTCACTGGTAAGCACTACTGACTTATAAAGATGGCAGAAGAATTTAGCTCAAACCAATGAGTGCTTGAGATGACGAACGTTATAAAAGAATGATAATTATTTAAAATAATTACTCAAATTTATGTACCACTTTCAGATTTTCAGAGGGCTTTCCTCACAACAACCCTATGAAATAGCTAGTAAAAGTAGTTTACTATCCCCATTTTATAGATTAGTGAACTTGTTAATTGTTCTTGCCCATTTCAGATATTAGCCTATTTAGTATGCTAAACATATGTGGAATGTCTCAAAAGTTTAGTTCAGTTTTAAGCTACTAAAGCCTTCAGGATACTCCATATATCACAAATTCTATGTGCAAGTTGGCCGAGCTGCAAATTAGACCTGACCAAATGTGAAGAAATATTTGTGATTGTTGGCTGTATATATGCATTGGGTACATATTCCATTGTACCTACTTTAAAAGGTTATTGTGAATATCCAATGAGTTAATGTATATTGAACTCAGGGATTAGCACAGTGCCTGACTCATAATGGGGTCATGAAGAGTCGAACAACAACTGACTCACAGTAGTTGCTTAAAAAATGCTTGCTGACTGACAGTGATGTAATAGCTGATGTTTTTATCAGTGCTTTAAGGTTTGCAAAGTGATTTATACATGTTAATTTGATCCTCACAACAACCTTTGAAGTAGGTGCAGATGATGAAATTGAGGCTGAGAAAGACTGAGTAACTAGCTCATGGTCACGCAGCTGGTATCTGAAGCTGGATTTGAACTCAGGTCTTCCTGACTCCAAGTCCAGAATTCATATCCACTGTGACACCTACAAAAACATCTATAAAAAATATTTCAATAAAAATACAATTAGATTATACTATTTCCATCCTGCCACCAATTTTTAAAAAGGCTTCAACTTGCTATATTTTTAGGAACATCAAGACAATCTCAAAACACAGACTATCTACCCACACCAAGGAGAGTAACAGTGACTCACATTAATAGAGTAATACAGATAATGGCTAATCACAACACAGTCATAAACACCAGGGGGTAGAAATCATTACTGTTATTCATAAAGCTCTGTGGGCCTACACTGTCATATAAGTATGTTATTCTGGATCCTCCAGTCTCTATCTGACTACAGGATTCTTATATGATTTAGAAACAATATTTACCAGAATGAAATAAATGTGCATGCACATAGTCTCTCTATCATCTTATCATTGTAAGTCCCTCAGGGCAATAGAAATGTACTGCATGTAATTCTTGCAATTCTATAACATCATCAATCAGTCAACAATCATTAACTAAGTCCTTACTTTGTGCCACGCACTGTGCTAATCACTGGGGATACAAAGAAAAACAAAATTGTTAAACTAACGAATATTTGGCATGTTGCAGGATGAAAAAAAAAAGAGGGGGGTGGAAATTACAGGAACATAATAAGAGTCACTGAGCAGATGATGAAAACAGAAAAACCAACCATTTTTGAAACATAATCCAGGACTAACTGTTCAATTTTCTTCTTTCCTATGAATTGTACAGGTAGATTCCGTAAGAGATGTTCTTTCAGCTCAGAGACCATCTATTTTAAAAAACAAAAATAAAAGAATTGTTAGACACATGAAATAAAGCTTAGTCTCTCATACCAGAATAAGCAAAACAATTTTACCACCTTTTCCCAAAAGGGTCTGAATTTCACAAGTCATGCCAAGAAGCCAACTGACACACAAAACATGGTATAAAAAGAATTCCCTTCACAGTTCCCCCAGTTCCCCCAGTTGCTCACAAAGCACAGAGGCTAAATCATTAGGGTCTGCAACTTTCTAAAGATGTTAATTTCACTAGTGCCAATATCTTGACACCTTCCACGTTTGTGGGATGCTTTATAGTTGACAGGTCTCTCCTACCCACTGGGTGGGTAAGTTACAGTGGTAAGAACACTGGGCTTGGAATCAGAGAATCTGGGTTCAAATACTGGCAATTCAACTTAATATCTATGTGACCTTATGCAAGTCCTTTCACCTTTCTTGGTCTCATTTCCTAATCTGTCAAATGAAGGGGCTTCCGGATCTTATAGGATCTCATTTGATTCACAACAACTGTGAGATAGGTAAGCAGGGTAAGTAGCATCCCCACTTTACAAATACCACACATTCATATCCAATCAGTTGTCAAATCTTATTGATTCTACCTCCACATCTCTTACATCTCTCCCCTTGTCTCTGCTCAGGAAATTGAGGTTCAGAGAGAGTAAAAGACTTGCCCGTGGTCACACAGTTAGAAAGTGTGAAGAATGCAATTTGGACCCAGATCTCCCTGACTCCAACTTTATCTACTGAATCATTCTCTGCCTCTCTAGACAGCCCAACAGAAACGGCTGCTTAATGACATGGTTTTCACAAAGATCGGAGCAAATGATAAAATGTAAGTAAAATTTCCTTGCCAATCCAAATCAGATATATTGAATAAAGTAAACTCACACACACATATTATACCAAAGTAATAAAGCCATCACTCATTTCACTGCCCTAAAACAGCCCTGTTTCCATATTCTGCAAATCTGTGGAAGAGACAACCTGATGCTATTCCCCTCCTCTTCCATCTTCTTTCTTCTTTTCTTCTTCCCCCTTCTTTGCCTATTTCCTTCTTCCTAGAGTACTCAGAAGCAATAGTTAACTGGTAGGCATTTGGAACAAAAAGAGGCTGGTGACCCCTAGTGACAATCCATGAGAATTATACCATAAGGACTTAGGGGCTCTTTCATCTTCATTGCACAGGAACAAGATTCCTCAAACATTCAAGTTCTGTCTGTTATTTAAACAGTCCCAAGCACAGGAGCTAGTGGATGAGATCAAATCCCATTCCCTATGGGACCTGGGCTGGACTGCTCATAATTTTCATTGCTTTCTCTCAGTAGGATGACTGGTTAAAAAGGCACTCAACCCCCATAACACTGGACATTCTAATGAAATCTTATCTAGAGCCCAAACCAAGTTCTCTGTTTTACTACTGTAGAAAATTTGGGCCTTATTTATTGCCCTAATGTCCCCATGTAAATTCCCAAAGTCCTCAGTCTGCCCTTCTAGAAAATGTTACAAGGGGTAACCCCATCTAAATCCTGTAAGGCCAAAGTAAGATATGAAATAAGAAAGATTTACATTTAGACAATACTTTAAGTTTGCTGAACCTTACTGGAATCCCATGAGGTAGGCAGAGCAAGTTTTATGATCCCCATTTTATAGATAAGGAAACTGAGGCTCTGAGTGTTTAAGGGATTTGATCATAAGTCAACAAGCATCTAAGGCTATCATATATGCCACTCCATCATGCTATGTTGCTTCAAATCAGACCACCTGATTTTCTTTCTTTTCTAAATCTTTTTCCTTGCCTATCACAAGGGGTGAATGGAAGTTGAGAAAAGCAGGGGGCGGGGGAGATTGTTGCACAGAGTACTAGTATGGGGATATTAACACTGGGAGCTTACCAAGCTAAGAGGGGCACAGAGGTATGTAGGTTTATGTTCTAACTGACAATCACACCTCATCTTCATATGATTACTAGACTTTTAAAAAACACCAGCTTGATTAAGAGGCAGAAGATGGTATCAAACGTTAAATCAAATAAATCTTTCTCCCCCAAGTTGCCAAGTTGTACTAGCCAGGCTGAGGAGACAGAAAGTAAGAGAACATGGGGTTTAAAGTCTATTTGCTTACAGTCTACACACACATACACACACATACAACTTCAGTACTACACTCACTAATTCCTCTCCCCTCCTCCACAAATAAAGAATATATCCCTAAGTCAGGTTAGAATTCAACATATTCATGTTTGCATGAAAGCATGGGCTCTAAAGCCCAAATGAAATCCTAAAGAAAAGTCAAACATAATTCAAATATGATTAAATTCTTTAGTATACGCTGTATAAGCACCAATATTGGATAGATCCATAGATGAATAGTTTTTGGCATAACTCCCCCACAACCTACCCCTCTATGCCCCCTTTTTCTACCTCTTCCTCTGGGCTAGGAAATCAAAGCAATCCCACCATATTACCACGGGTTCCTAAAAAAGGATATCTATTGACTTCCCTGTGGATCAACTTACCAGAAACTCTTTTTCCTGGCCTCTACTCCCATATACATATTGTCTCACCCATTGGAATATCAATTCCTTGAGGGTTTGTTCTGTTTCATTCTTGTATTTGTATCTCTAGTGCTTAGCACAGTGATACATGCTTCTTTATTCATTTATTGTAGGAAACTTGGGATTCTGTAATTTAGTGACACAGGGTTCTGTTTTGTTGAATTTGAAACCAATAAAAAAAATTACAAGATTTTCCTCTTTTCCCTGTCCTGTAATAATAATAAAAAAAGATGCTAAAATAAAACAACAGAAACTGACTTTTTCCTGTCTTGGGGTCCAGAATACCCTGCCATACTAACAGCCCACAGAATACATACCAGTCCCATGAGCAGTCTCTGCTGATTATCTTCCTCCTGGAAGAGGAGAGCTAATCGTGGCTCTGAAATAAAACAGAGCACTATTTAGACAACAAATACTTGCATAGTTACTATATGTTTCCTAACCTTCAACACCAAGTCCCTCCACACATACACACACAAAAGTAAGAGGCATTAGAAACTAGACTTTCCTCCCCTGGCTCATTGGGAGATGCTTGAGGGATAGAAGATTTTACAGATGTCAGACTATGGCTCCTACATAAATTCAAAAGAGAAGCCAAGACCTCTGTGAGAGGAAGAGTGAAAGGATGGAAAGATGAAGAAGAAAGACGTCCAATCGTGATAGGATCCAGTTTCCAGATTCCATTACTTAAGAAGGGTTTAGTAATTTGAATCAGAAGGATAAAGATATTTTATTAACTAAGGAGACAATAGCCAGCACAGGACAAGGCTTGGTCCACCTCCATTTCTCTCTCCCTCCCAGAGAGTATGCTGGCACTGAGATTGCTAACTTTAGTTTGGAAGAATATGTTCTGGTTTATCATCTTATCCCATCTAAACATGAGTTATTTAGCTTAGAAAGTAACTTGATCAGGGTGGGAAATGTAGTATGTGATATTAAAAAGATTTTTCACTTCCAAGTTGACATGTTGCACCAAACAAGCTGAGGGGGTAAGAAGTAAGGAGAACACAGGTCCTACAAGAACTATTTGCTGTGCTCTTTTTGCAGTCACAAAGAACAGGAAACTAAGGGGATGCCCATCAACTGGGAAATTGCTGAACAAGATATAGTAGTATGAATGTGATAGAATACTATTGTGATTTAAGAAGTAACAAGGGGGACGTTTTCAGAGAAACCTGGGAAGATTTGTATGAACTGATGGTAAAGTTGGTTGACATATATATATATATATATATATATATATATGTACACAATATATACATTGTATACATATATATATACGTGTGTGTGTATATATATATACAATAACAATAGTATTGTAAAATAAAACAACTGTACATGACTTAATGCTTGGAGCAACACAATAACCAACCACAATTCCAGAGGACTCATGATGAAACTTACTACCCACTTCCTAACAGAGGAGTGATGAACTCAGAAAGCAGACTGAGACATATTTTTTAATATGGCCAATGTAGGAATTTCTTTTGCTTGACTATAAATGTTTCTAACAAAGGTTTTGCTTTTCTTTCTTTTTCAGTGGTAGAAGGGAGAAAAGCGTGTTTTCATTCAATGAAAAAAAATTCATCACAAAGAAAAATTATCTACTTGCTGTGATATCCCTGCCTTTACTTACTACATGGATTCAGGTAGCTTAGGGCAAAGGAAAATGATTACAGCTGAGTGACAGATTGGTCAAGGAGGCTAAGAAGCACTGGTCAAGCACATCCATTGTGTGGTCCTAGAACAGGGTTCCTTTCATCAAAGTAACGGTCATATTTCAGCTAAAGATGTCACATTTCAGTCAAACTTTGCTGCCATCTTATCTAGTCCTTAAGTTAATGATAAAATAGAAGGAAACAAAAGCATAGTACCACCAGATTCCATACAGCAGGTTCCGTTCCCATGACAATAATTTCCTCCCAGCAATTAGTTCAACCACAGCACGTGAGACCAACATAAGGTTTCCTTAAGCACACTAAGAGGACGACCAGTAATCCAGACACAGAGATAAGTGATGTCAGTGACGAGGTGAGAGGGAGGCAGAGGGATAGGGCTGGTTAGCAGCGTAGGAATGTCAGTCAATCTGGAAACATTTAGAAATTGTGAAACCCATTTCCAACAGGACTAACGTCAACTGGTGTCACACCGCCCTTATGTTTCTAGTTAAAGGCATTGACAACCTCTGTTTAGTGCCTGCGGAAGGAAGCCTCCTCTTTAGATAGGGAGATTTTAATCGCCCAGGGAAATTAACATAAGATACCACACCTCTATGGGTACTATTAAATAAACTAGGGCACTGTCAGCCTATGGTTGAAGATAATTTCACCCTGACAACTTACATGAACCTGCACTTATGATGGCCACAGCTCTTAGTGACAATGTATCTGATGAAGTTTAAAACAGTTCTTAAAAGAAGAAAGGCAACTATAAGAAACCAAACAAAAGATTTCTTTGAATCACTGACAAGAGAAATATAAACCGAGCGGCTAAAATGTCCATACCATCCGATCATCCCAGTACTCGGTATATTACCTCAAGTATGTCAAAGATAAAAAGAAAGACACCATTCACACCAAACACACTGCAATATTTATAACAGCACTTTTTATAGTAGCAAAGCATGAAAAACAAAGTGGATGCCCAGTGAATGACAAATGGCTAAACAAATTGTAGTACAAGAATATAATGTACCAAGAGAATGAACGCTTATGTAGAATACAGAGAGGATGGAAAGAGTTATGCTAATGGATGCTAAATAAAGAAGGGAAGCTAAACATTGTATGGTTAGAGAAATAAGAGCCCAGGAGCAAGTGACTTCCTTAAGTGGATGCTGGTGTTAAAAAGCAGGCCTGTGTGAGATTGGCCCAGCTGACCAGTTTCACTTGTCATTGTTGTTCGGTCATTCCAGCTGTGTCTGACTCTTCATGACCCTATTTGGAGTTTTCTTGGAGAATGGGACATAATCCCAGTGAAGACTTCTCAGGGTGCCTTGATGTCAGCCTTTAAAACTATCCCTTCTGATTGTCACACCCTGGCCATTACAGCACTAGGTTTGCTAAGTAAGGACACTAGAGAAGACGAACAGGCCATAGGTTAAAGTATGCTAAATTCTGTTTCTTTTCACCCCTTTTAGAATGTAAGCCCAATCACCAATTAAGGGGGTAAGGGATGGTGAGGAGCAGACAGCCATCCCACACAGTGGCAAAGATACTGGAGTGGTTTGCCATTTCCTTCTCTAGCTCATTTTACAAAACAAACTAAGGCAAACAGAGCTAAGTTACTTGCCCAGGGTCACACAGCTACTAAGTGTCTGAGGACAGATTTGAACTCAGGAAAATGAGTTTTCCTGACTCTGGGCCTCATGCTCTTTCCATTGTACCACCTACCTACCCACTAGTTTCACACTAACATTAACATAGTATAGCCAAACCTCACCTTAAAATCATAAAACCTTGCTGTAAAATCATTTGGCTAATTGACATGAGCCAAATATAATATTGTTTCATGGGTCATCCATGTTTGGCATTGTACTAACTGGATTAATACCCCAAATAACACAAAGCCTTCTTAGTGAAATCTATAAAAATCAGAGTGATCCAACTATCCACAATGAAAAATCAAAAAGGATGAAAAACTTATCTTGCAACTAGACAGGTAATTCCATTGAGTGAATACAGGAACATGTACATATTTTACATAGATCCTGCAGACAGACAGAAAATTGGACCCAGAACTGAGCAGTAGAGATTGAACTGTGTTGGGAAAACTATAATATGTTCAGTGCTCTCCAGATACTCACTGGTACAAAAGTCCATCTCTTTAATATTGCTATTTTCCGTGGGGAGGGTGAGGGGGGGAGAAGGGGGAGAAAGATTTTCAACTCAAAAGAATATGGAAGTGATTGTTGATAAATCAAAATAAGTTAATAAAACTTAAAAAAATATATTGCTATTTTCCCAGTGCAGCTAAATGGCTGTAATTTTAGAGCACTATAATCTGACCCAAAAGGCAATGGGAAGACGCATTAGAATATGAGCTCCTTGAGGGCAGGAAATGTCTTGCTTTTCTATTAGTATCTTCAGCACATAACAGTGCTTTGCACATAGTAAGTACTTAATAAACGCCTTATTTATTCATAGTGAGTACATGAATTAAAATTGGCTGCAAGATATCATGAATCTTGATGTATATGCAAGAAGTTGCACAAAATATATTCTCAAGGAACTCATGACTGAATAAGGAGGTAGGCCAGTCATAGAGCAGGAGTGAGGGAAAAGAAATAGAACTGCTAAGGTACCAAAGGATCAAAGGAAGACCCACAGCATTTTGGATGGATCTTCTATGGAGGATTTGTGGAAAGACATTGACAAGATGTCACCCAGAGGTTAACTTGATGATTGGATGAGTCCTTGCCCAGAACCTCTGTATCTTCAGAAATCCCAACCGTACTGTTTACTTCCCTCCTGGGCTCACTCTTCGGTCTGCTTCACCTCCACACTTTTATTACTTCCTGTATGAGTACCCTGCTTCTCTTCTACTCCACTATCCACCTTCCCTTTATGTGCAGTCTTCCTGCATTAAAATGTAGATTCCTTGAAATCAGGGACCAACTTGTTTTTATTGTTTTTGTACTCCCAGCATTGAGCACAGTGGCTGACATGCACTTAATCTTCATCTATTTATCTAATAACTGCATAAGATGAGGACGTGTGAAGAGGATGATATCTCATTATCACGAATACTTATTCTCCCAAGACAGATCACAGATCTAGCTAAGTATAAGTTCCTGTGGAATTAACTGGAAAAAAATTTTTTTGTTTTGTTTTTAAAAAGGAATTAACTGCCCACTGTAAAGTCATTTAATCTAATATTCTATCCCATGAAAGTAATTCACAAAATTAGGAGTAACTTCACTATTTAGATAAATAGCCAAACGGTCATCTCCTAGATTCACTAAGTCCCACAAAGGGATATAAATAGGAAAGCCCAGAATAAACTGTACATAGATTTCCCTCTACTTTCCACTGGTGAGGGCTCAGGAGAACCTTTCTCACTGATTAAAAGCAAGAAGGTTTTAGTTCAGGTCTTTTCTTACCTACTATCCATGCTTCTAGGTTGGAAATCACCCTATGGAGAAAAAATTGATTTATGTTATTCACAAATATAAGCATTAAGAGGAAAAAGGAAGGCTATAATATCATACAAAGCAAATGCTGCTTAGAAATTATTATCTTCTGAGAGCTTCATGATTTAAATTAACTTGGCAAAAAAAGTGACATTAAACAATTATAAAATCAACTAACTTTTTTTTCATCTTGAATCTCTGTAGCAATTTACAACAATTGCTCTTCTTGGTTACTGGAAAGAACAGAAACAAAAGCTAGAATAGAGGTCAGAATCTGGCCCACATTTCTACCCCTATGAGATGACTCAGTTTGTAGAAATTAATAAATATTAATTAAACCTTCAAAGTAAGGCCAAGTTTGCCAGAAATCTAAAACTTCTTAACCAGCCTACCTGTTACTGGTGGGGGACAAATGAATTGTTAACAAGGCTCGACATATAAACACTTTCTTAGCATTCTTCTCATTCTACCTACCTCCTTCTTACCCCAAACTACCCCTGCTTTTGTAATGGAATCCAGATACCTAAATGCAATAAAATGAATTGTTCTATTCTGCTGAGCATGCACAATTGAAGAAAAAGCTACCCCAATCATCTGTCATTAGCTTGGTTAAATAAGGTTATTTCAAAGAATGATAACTAGTTTATTAATATAGATGATAACACTTAGGGTTAACTTACTTTACAGCATTTTCCAGAATGTTTCTGAAATACACAGTAGATCTTCTTTTTCCTTTTTTCTAGAATGAGATATGTTAAAGATATGAAAGATAAAAGCCATATGAATAGGGGTTACCGTTCATATTTACAATATGATGTCCCAAAGGTCAGATCTCCAAAAAATGGGAAAGATGGCTATTTGTTTAGTCCCCTAAAACTGGAACAAAGAGTTTGAGAATAAGGGACGGTAATAGGGAATATGCATATGTAGTGCCTATTATAGACCAAGTACCATGCTAAGTGCTTTACAAACACTGTCTCAGTTGAGACAACAATCCTGGGAAGTAGACGCTATTATTATCCCCATTTTACACTTGAGCAAACTGAGGCAAGCAGAGGTTAAGTGACTTGCCTAGGGACACACAACCTGTTGTCTGAGGCTGATTTGAACTCAGGTCTTCCTGACTTCAGGCCCAATGCTCTATCCATTGTTTCACCTAGCTGCCCCACTAAAAATGGGGCGTTCCATTACCTCCTGTTAATGTATGGGAATTTTAATTTTTAAAATCTCAACTAAGAATATGCATTAAAAAAAAAAAAGAATATGCATAGCACCCCAGAGTCCCGTATTCTTCAGGCACCAGGAGCAGCATGGACTAATGGAAAGAATGCTCAACTGAGAATCAGAAGACTTGGACTGAGTTCTAATCCCAGGTCTGCCATTGACCATTATGCAATCTTGGGTAATGTAATCATTAATTCTGTCTGGGCTACAGCTTCCTCGTTGGCAAATTGAATAGACAAGGTAAGATGTTTTAAAAAATGCTCTTTTAACTCTAAAAATATTTTTCCACCTTCTGTTTTGTGTTAATCTAGGATTGCTACCCAAAGACCTCATCAACCTCTTACGTACCTCTTCTGAAATTAAGTTCCTCCACTCTCTCCTGACCACATTGTTGTTATACTGTAAGTGTGGTTTAGCATATTTGACATATTCCAAATTGGAGTTCAGTTTTTCCCAGTAGCCCTTAAAGCTCTGCACCTATAAAATATAAAGATGTACCATGAACATAACTCAAAATTAGGCCCAGATGCTCCCCCAATTCTTATAAATAAAAAATAAAGATAAGTAATTGGGCCTGCTACTTCATAGGAAGAGAACAGAGATAAAAACTAAAACATAAAAGTATCAAATGATGAATCAATTGACAAGCACTTATTAAGTACCAGATAAGCAGTAAATACACATACAGAAGGAAATGAATTTATTCTTTACCAGACACAGGATAGCACTCTTGGTTGGAATATTTTGCTACTCTGCCATTTTGCTGGTACCTGATTTAATTAGTGGGGATATTCCTTTCACCAATTGAATCCCTGTGCTATTCTTGCCCATATCTTTTCCAAAATTCTCCATATCATGCCCACTTAATGTCTTGAAGCCTTGTAAGAATATGTTATTCCAGAATTTTAGAGTTTGAAGGAGCTGGTAAAATTCTTAACCTAGGGTCCATGAAATTTTTTTAAATTGTGATAACTATATTTAATAGAGTTGGTTTCCTTTGTAATCCTATATGATTTATTTTATGCATTTAAAAAACATTATTCTAAGAAGGAACCCATAGGCTTTATCAGGCTGACAAAGGGAGCCACAACACAAAACTAGATTAAGAACCCCTGATCTAACCCAAACTCTCAAAGCTAAGGGAATCAAAGCTCACAGAATTGCTGGTTCTTTTAATGTTCGAGGTAACAGGGGAACTCTCAGACCTAGATAATTACTCTAAAATTTAAAAGAAAAAACTAAAAAAACCATGCCTTAGTCTAGCTAGAAAATAACCTTCATTTTCTTTCCATCTCACAACCAAGAACACTCACTTTTATATCCAATGACTAACCATAGCTTAAAGATTTATGGCTAAGCAGGGGAAACCTAAATTAAAGCACTATTATGCTGTTTCCATCCCAGAAGTGATAATAGTAGTAGTTCATATTTCAATAGCAATTTTAGTTTACAAAGCACAATTCCTCTATGAGGTAGGTGGTATTCGGTATCATCTCCATTTTACAGATAAGGAAACTGAGGTTTGGAGAGGTACCATAATTTGCCTAAGGTCATATGACTCATGTTAGATCTAAGGCTCCATCTTAAGTTTTCTAAGTTCTGGTGCTCTTTCTACACCACCATGCTGGCTTACTATGGATTTCTCTGTCCCACAATATGCCCCATTCACCCCTTTTAGAGTCACAAAAGAATGTTAACCAAAGTTGTGTCTTCTCAGATGGATTTATTTTATCCATTAAGTTTATTTACATTCTCAAAATACAACAGAGAAAAAGTAAATTAAACTTAGTCTCTTAGTCATCAAACAACACATCAAAGCAGAATGGAAAAATAAAATTCCAAATGCATTTTGGGGGCAATATAGTCTAGTGGAAAGAACAGTAAATTTGAAATTAGTGGACTCAGGTCGGAATTCCAGCTCTTACTTGAACAAGTCACTTAACTTTGAGAGGGGCTCCATTTTTTCATCTTTAAAATCATTCAATTTAAATCTTTAAAGTAATAGGCTAAATGATCTCTAGAGTTCCTTCCATATTCTAAATTCCATTAACATTTAATCATCTACTTTCATGGTACTTAAATTCTGGATATTTTAAGAGGTAAATTATTGGAGCAAGAAAATATTCATGTAATAATTCAAGGGATATGACAGAATTGTGAAAGTACATTTTGTCCTCCAATAATAACACAATGACAATAGGGTATTTTTTTTTCTATTCATAGTGACAGATTTGCATTCTATTCACACTTCCTTGCCCAGACTCCCTCCTGACTGCTAGCTTGCATTTATGAACTTTCTGGCTGATGCTTAGAGTTCAATTGGTGACCATGGAACTGACTGAAGATAATTGCTCCTCATGGGGACTGAACTCACACTCTTGGCTTCATTTTAAGACAAAATGGAGCACATGAATAACATAAACAAAAATGGCATAAGGCAAAAATTCTTTTGTTGGAGATTTTATAATCTGTTAAAATCATAAGATTAAATAAAATTTGTTGGGTGGTTATTATGTGCCAGGTACTGTGCTAGGATTACAAAGTCAAAAGTAGAACTGTTCTGTCCTCAAGAAGCTTGCATTTTGCTGATGGGAAACAACAGATACAAAATGCATCAGAGTAAATTCAAAAACAGTGTGGTAGTGGGAGAGAGGAAGTGAATGAGAGAGGCAGGAGCCTAGAGGTATCAAGAGGAGGCTCTCAAAGAAGATGGCACTTGAGCTGAGCCTTGAACCATCCAAGAATTCCTTGAGAAAGAATGTCCTTTATATACACTGTTTGTGTGTTTTTTTGTTTGTTTGTTTTTGGTGAGGCAATTGGGGTTAAGTGACTTGCCCAGGGTCACACAGCTAGTGAGTATTATATGTCTGAGGTCACATTTGAACTCAGGTCCTCCCGATTCCAGGGCCAGTGCTCTATCCACTGCGCCACCTAGCTGCCCCTATATATACTGTTAGTAAAGAAACACAACTAGCCATCATCACAATTCACATTTTAAAACATTTTAAGGTTTGAAAAGCATTTTCCTCCCAACAACTCAGTGAAGTTCATAGTTCCAGTATTATTACCCTCATTTTACACATGAGAAAACTGAGGTTCAGAGAGGCTAGATGACATAGCTAACAAGAGTTAGAGAAAGGATTTAAACCTTTTCTTGACCCAGAGACCGGGACTTCTTTGAATCACAATGGAGCCTCCATAGAACACTTTAAAATCATACTACTGCAACCTGTAGTTTCAGAACCCTGACATATACTCCAAACATTTAGCAGACAGAACAAGACAGAATCCGGCATGGGAAACTGGAACATCTGATTATTCTACAGATCATCTTTCATTTATCTTTTCTTGTTCATGAATTCTAAACAAATCTATTATGATGCACCCTGTATTTCTTCCTCATTTCTCTGCTTCTTTCTCAAGGCATAAATAGTTAAAACAGTGCTTCTCACTCAGTGAGAGTTGACTAAATGTTTGTTGAATTGAAGTATTGCATTAACTGGGAAAAACCTAACTCATCAATGGTTAAGCTACTGCTGTGGCCCCTCTTTTGCCATGAAAAGTAGCGGGGAGGATTGGGGTAGGGGGTGGAAAGGAATTTATAAACTGGAATGTAAAATAATTAAATAGTAATGACCTGACATCTAGTGGTCAGTTAGGGTAACTCTTCTGAAAATTCATAGGGTAAATCATTACATAATATGATCCATTAAAGGTAATTTAAATAGTACTGACCGGTTTTGGAGAAGGAAGAGAGCTTATGCATCATATAATTCATCCATCCCATTTTACTGATGAAGAAACTAAGGCCTAGAGAGGTAAAAATGCTTGCTCAAAGTCACACAGGTAGTAAATGGAAGTCAGGATTAGAATCCAGCATTATGACTTCAAACTTGGTGCCCTTTCTCCTACAACACATTCAGTACTCTGCATCTTCATTTTTGGGCCCCTGTCAGATGGTTCTTACCTACCAGGCCTAGTGACTTCATCCTGCCTCTAACTGTGCACAGCTCCCCAATAATGGAGCTCACCCAGGAAGTACCTCATGCTCCAAAATCATCCCTTCTCTAGTTCCTCTCTATCCAAAACTCCCATTTTCTTAGGGTCCTATTCTCAACTAGGTAGCAGGAAAAAGGGCAGAGGGTTATTAGAATGAAAGAAATCATACAGAGGGTGAATGACTGGTAGATAATAGAAGGCATTAAACATCAACAGACAAATGAAGGTTGTTGTTAATAACTGGTATCCAAATTCAGAAGTGGGGGCGGGAGAGCGGAAAGAGGGAAGGAATGGGAAGGAGGAAGAAGAGAGAGAGAGAAGGAAAGAGAGAGGGACAGAGAAAGAGGGAGAGGGAAACAGGGAGAGGGGAAGAGGGAGAAGTGGAGGAGGAGAAGGAGGGGGGGAGAGAGAGAGAGAGAAAGAGAGGGAGGGAGGGAGGACTGGAGAAGGGGCTTATAAATGTTAAGCAACGAGAGATAATATTGAAAACTGGTTTGAGCAAGACAATGGAGGGAAGATCCTGAATGCCAGCTAATGCCAGGGTTCTTACTGACATAAAGAAATGAATTAAGCCAACAACAGAACGTCAGGTGTTGCGATAGTCCACTGAGGAAGATTTGGGGGCAGAGAGAAATTACTCATATGCCATCCAGCAGGAGAGATTGCCATATCCCATCTAGGCTGAGGATCCACATAAAACTCAAAATGTTAGTCAACCCATAGCCAACTTTTAAAAAAGCATCTTCAGTGTGCCCTAAATCAGGGACACAAAAGAAGAGGAGACATGTTCCCCAGCTAGAAGAAACGTGCTATTTTATTGACTGTGCAAACTTACCACCTTTATAAAAAAAAACACATAAATGATGTGTTAGAAGGGAATAGGCCCATGAATATAATGCCCATTGAATACCTTAATTCTGAGGAAAAAAATGAGGTCAAGAAGTGATCAGAGCACGGAACAGATAATTAGGAAAAACTTACTACAGCCAGGGAATTTTGTTATCAGGATGAAGGAAAGAAGGAAGGGATTCAAAGTCTCTCTGCTTAATTAAAAACATCTCAATTTTCTCCTAAGATTATGTAGATAAATTGTATGGTACAGTGGATATAGAGGTGACCTCAGAACCAAGATGCCCTGGATTGAGTCCTTCCTTTGACACATGTTGGCGTGTGACCCAGGGCAAGCCACCATTTCTCAGTGCCTTAGGAAATTGAGACTAAAAGTTGTAGAGTAAGTGCTCATCTACATTAACAGAGGGACTTTCCTCACGAAGGGCTGACTCTTTGTGACCCAATTTGGGGTTTTCTTGGCAAAGATACTGGAGTCGTTTGCCATTTTCTTTTCCAGCTCATTTTACAGATGATAAAACTGAGGCAAACAGGGTTAAGTGACTTGCCCAGGGTCACATGGCTAGAGTCTGAGACCAGAGTTGAACTCAGGTCTTCCTGACTACTGGCCTGGTACTTTATCCAATGTT